AAGTAACGAATTCATATGAAAAGGATAAGTATTTGTTAACTCTTGCGTTAAATTAACTTTATTGCGACTCTAACTTAAACCCTTAAATCACTTAAGCTGAGTTTCTGAAGTTAACTACCATTTATTTTATCGTTACCTAGTGATTCATTAGTGTTCATTTAAGTTTCAACGGAGTAAAACTCAAGTAACGTAGTTCGGAAACGAATTGCAAGAAGATATCGAAACAAAAACACTAACCCATGGTTTAAAAAAGCTAGGACACAGGTCATTAGAAGATTATAGAAAGATTGTTAGAAATATTTTTATTAGCTTAATTTATAGCTTTGTATTTCCAAAGCAATGTACTTTAGAACTCGGTTACATTTACATTTGAAAATGATTATAATAGTAATGGAAAAAAATATTGTTTAATTACATGAAAACGATTTGAATCCAAAAACCAACAGTCGAGCGGAAATTGTAATTATTAGAGTCGCTCGTCCTGAAAGTATTCCAAACATTAATTGAATAAGCTTTTGCTATGTGGATGGAACTTTTTGAATATAGAAGTCTTTAGTTACTTGTTAAATTCTTCGTCTACTTATTCCATTTTTTGCATTTTTGTAAGTATAACTGAAAAACAACTGGCCCGATTTTAAAAAAATATTTCACAGTTAGAAAGGTAATTTATAACATAACATATTTTACTTTTTTAATTTCACGGGGACGAAGTCGCGAGCAACAGCTAGTCTTCTTTGTTTTTATAAAACTCAGCTAAGAAAATATTCTGATTATAAGTGCACGGGATAGGTAACATTGTCCAACATTCTCATATATTAAGATTATTTACTTAAATCAATTCCTAATTACCACTAACAAATATCTATCCATCTAAACATTCGCATTTACAATATTAGAAAGAAGTAACACGTGATTATCCGCATGTTTCCTTTAATTTTTTCACTAGAGAGGGTCAATAAAAAAGTAAGATAAACGAAAGTTAGAATTCTATTCGACCATCTGATACTTCATTTACAACAAATATAGCGGTCATTTTCCCCATCACTAACATAACAACAAGCAAGTGATTATAATTGCTACAGTTTTCCTCATAAGATATCCTATATTTGCAACGTTTATAATATCAAATTACCATACAAATTAAACACTTCTTACAATACTTAATTATATACAGACATAATAACTTAACATTAATTGTTATAAACCATTTTAATCTATACTGTATGATAATGAAAACACCGTCGATTAATGGCAACGCATCTGCAATTGCGGATGTCTATGGGGAGCGGTCGCTCTCCATTTTGTTGGATTAAGATGGCCGCTTGTACACCTTATAATAAAAAAAATACTAATTTAATAAAGAGAGATTAGCATTTTTGCACGTATTGAAATAACTCCAAAACAATTGGGCCAATTTTAAAAATTCTTTCACTATTAAAAAGCTGCGTTATCAGTGAGTAATATAGGCTATAATTTTTCAATTTCACTTTCCCTTCAATAGTTCTAGTATCCATAATAGAGAAACTGTTCTAATCATTTTTAATCCACGAAATGTATGTATATACAAGATTTTAATATTTTCAGTGTCTCGTATTATTATCAATCTTTAGCACGATGTATAATTATATTAAAAAGTTATTTAAAATGCTAAACAGACTGTCTGACGCAAAATTAAAACTTATTAGTCGCTAAAATTACTCGCGAGGAAATGAAACGTAACTCATTTTACTTTTGGTCGTGAAGCGGCCGTCCGGGTAAATTTAATTTTTGTAAGTTAATACAAAAATTAAATATCGAGTTATTACGAAACATAGCATTTATATCCAAAAATTTGAACATATCGTAAGATAATGCATTTAAAAAAAATGTGTTTGTAATCGTTAAACTTTGAAAATACAAAACCGAATTATAGGTAATTGAATCGAACGTAAAAATGATTGGTTTTTATTTGTGCTTTTAACCGACCCAAAAGAAGGAGGTTATCAATTCGTTGTTCTTTTTCTGTTCTGTACTGCTAACTTCTCTATGCATTGATTGCTTTTATATGCTTGTGGTACCAATATACATATATCTAGCTATACCAATATTATAAAAAGAAAAAAAAAATTGTATGTATTGAACTAACTCAAAAACTACAAAGCCGATTAGAATAATTCACTATTAAAAAGATAATTTAACTATCTGTGAGCAACATATATTTTTTAATGTTCTTAATTTCACGCAGACAAAGTCGCGAGCAACAATTAGTTAATATGATCATATATAACATGTATGTATGTATTAAAGGCTGTGGGCTTCGATGAAGCGCGTCGTTAATGCTTTTGACTAGATAGCGCGCGATAAAACACCATTTACAATGTTTTCGCGCTCGAGGCCCGATAACCGGCATAGTATCCGCGATTCTGTATCACTACTAGACGATAGCTACATATATATTAAGATTAACACTATTGTGTAGTCGCAAGGTAGCCTTGGTATTTGATACAATCATTTTGGGCATATATATCAAGGAATATGAGCTTAAAAACCGAAATCGACGCAAAGATATTAAACGGCATAGATTTTGATTATTGCAGCGCATTGAACCGACAGGCAATCATCATCATCATCACGAGTTCACTCTACGTCATGACCGAGGGGCTCGACTCCCCTAAGACAGACAAAGCCAAACGGAATCTATTTTTTGGCTCTGTTACGAGGCAAAAGAATTGTCATGATTTTCATGTCTATATCATTTGCATATTACAACATTACTATGTACCAAATACAGCTAATGCATCACAGTTTTACCCTTCCTTTATTTCCTTTTATTATTTTAGGCGGGATCGTGGTCAAGCGCTAGCTTAACAAACATAAACCTATGCCGTTCAGTGAATGATTAAATTCGTAAATTTGTTTTTAACATTCACATGGATGTCTAACCTGTTGGTAAATCATTTATGTGATTTATGAATGAATGATGTCATATAATTCATTATTACCTTATTTACTTCGTCAGTTGCCGCAGTGGCTTTTGCCTTGAGGAAATATTCTAAATATTATGTACTTATATAATTTAGTTAGGCTTAACTTGTGCCGTCGCGTGCTGGACGTAGATCGCAAGTTTATGGCTGTAATATGATTAGAATTACTATGAGAGTTTGGCATTTTTGGTCGCAACGATAAGAAGAGAAACAAAGAAGTCGAAAATATACACTTAGTTAATTTGTTTATTTTCTCTCTAAGAACATGAAAAGTTTGTGAATAAACCAAGTAAGTATATTAATAAAATATATTGGAAAATGTTTTTTAATTGTGACGTAACTAATACACCATGAAAAGAATCACATATTACGATCAATTGATTACGATTCTAAATAAGTATGATATTATTTTAACGTTTTGTATATGATTAAATATAGCAAAATGTTATTTATTTGAATATCACGTGATAACTAACCTACAATAAAACACCTGTCAAAATATTTGCCGACCCATGTCCTTCACACGCACCTGTAACATGAGAGAATAACAATTATTTCATAGCAATTATAAATTCCCACGGCCGTGAATTATGTTTATTATGATTTTAATGTAATACTTTAAATTACATAGATTTTGCCCGCGACTCCGTCCGCGTGGTTTAAAAGCAACAAAAGTGCCTATGTGTTCTTCCAGACTATCCTCTACATTTAGACAAACATCCAACCATCCATCTAAACTTTTACATCATACTAATATTATAAATGCAAAAGTTTAGATGGACGGATGGATAGATGTTTTTTAGAATTTGTAGCCTAAACGACTTAACGGGTATCGATGAAATTTAGTATAGATGTAGAGGATAGTCTGAAAGACATAGACTACTCACTTTTTTTAATCCCACGCGGACGGAGTCGCAATCGAAAGCTAGTTTGTAATATTAGTAAGTAAGAAGTAAGATTGTGTCTTCACAATCCATTGTAAAATATTTTTCAGTACTTATGGTTAAAGAATAATATTTTTCAGCAATAATCAATTACTAGTTCAAATTAATCAGTACATCTTAACGACTCTACAATAGTCTACGAATTAGTCTACGGCGTAGCAAACACTGTAGGTATCTTGCTACGTTAATTGAAAGTGATATAGATTGAAGCTAGTTTAAACGTCGTCAATTTAAAGTATAATTTGCACAGTTCAATTATGTCAATTGAACAATGATCCTTTGTAGTTTAGTTTATTAGATTCCTTAACAATGTTAGTGTAATACTTTGACGATTTTTGACACAGACTAAAAAATCTAACTAAAATCATAAATGCGAATGTTTAGATGGATGGATGTTGGAGTTTGTAGCCTAAACGGCTAAACGGATCTCGCTGAAATTTGGCATTGATGTGGAACATATTCTGTAGGAGCACATAGGCTACTCACTTTCGTTTTTATTAATTCCACGCGGACGGAGTCGCGGGTGAAAGCTAATAAAGTTTTAATTGATATTTGTAATAATCAAGACCTTTAGTCGTAAGTGTATAGGTAAGAAAAATGAATATCTTAAAGGGTGTTTGTCTTAACAAGAGGCAGGTGGCGCTCGAATCGATACCGCTCAGGTTAACATCAATCTTTATGTGACATATTTACAGGACACAAACACACGATGCTATAAAAAGACCGTTGAAAGTATAAAACAACCTAGATTTTTACAACAAAAAGTTACCGTTAAAGACACTTCAAATTATTTAAAGATATTTTTTAACCTTACTATTAGGTATATATGCGAAAGTTTGGATAGCTGGATGTTGGTTAGAGTATGTAGCCTAAAATCCTTATAAAATCGAGAAAATAAGACATAAAAATGGTAATTTTGTAATTTTAAAAAGTTAATTTCAAACATGTAATTAAAACAGATACGCAAAATTAATCAGATAAAAAGTAAAATGTTTATATTCTCATTATTAATGAATACTAGCTTACGCCCGCGACTATGTCAGGGTAGAATTAAAAACAAACAAAAGTGAGTAGCCTATGTGGCCTTCCTAACTTCTTCTTCTGTACTAACTATCTTCTACATCTGTACCAAATTTCATATAAAACCGATGAACCGTTTAAGCCACAATCCATCCAAACTTTCACATTTATAATATTAGTATCAAGTAAGATGTGTGTCGAAAGTAGGACCGCATTGACATCGGCTTTTTTACTACGCTAAAAGAACCCCTTTTAATTCGAGTATTATCATACGTTTTTAATAATCTAAATATATTTTATTTGTTATAGAAAAAAAACTATAACACACTTACAAGGTAAACTTTTCCGTATCACCATGACACTAGTGAGGATAAAATGTCAATCTATACCCACTCACATTTAATATTAAATAAAAACACGTTCATAAACATACGAATTAAAAGCACAAAGTATAAACCAAACACTATTATACGAGTGAGTTCAAAAACTTTAAATAATTATCAACAAATTCTAACAGAGAACACGCTCGTCTGTGTCGCGAGGCTGCGTTGAACTGAATGTTATGACTGACGCGAGCAACGTCTCCCAGCACAGGTTTAGGGAAGTCCGACTGACTTAACATTATAAATATTACAACAATTTGTTTTATGGTTTTTACGAATTGCATAATTTGCTAACATGTGCAAAAATATTTTTTTATAAATAATTAGAACTTGTAAAGCAATTAAAATATTTTTAACGTTAACCTCGATTATCTTACATACAACAATAATTACTAAAGTTAAGTAAAATCAGTAACTTCAACACAGATTAGTATCTAACTTAAACCAGGGTCATGAAAAAACAACGGAGTTTTCTTTGAACAGTAACGGTTTAACAAAAGCACTCCCTTAATAAATAGAATTTACTTAGATTACTTCGTCGTTAAAGAATCCCGTAAATTTAGACTTTAAGTAATCGATTACATTCTGAGCGACATTGTTTTTTTTAACTATAGCTTCGCAAGAAATTTGTGTAAATCAGTAAAACTTTCAGTGATATATCGATGAGGTAAACGGCTCTAATCCCGTTATCGAGCGTGAACGTAAAAACACGGTAAGCGATGTTTTATCAGCCTAGTCGCCAAAGCCCGCGCCAGCGCCGCACAGTATCGTGCTTGTGAACAGTTTTACAAGTCAGGGCTTGATCTCTAGATTTCATTTAAATTAATTTAACATTATGATTAGTTAGGGTAAAAGTTCCAGGACCAAGCCATAAAAGACTGTAGAGCTATAGAAGAAGGTTTTTTAGGGTCTGTCTGTCTGACTGTATATCATACAATTCATAGCGTTATATTAACATATCAACTAATTCTATAAAATATACCGTGTACTATTACACATTTTCAATATTTTTCATCGGTTTAAATAAGTAAACTTTTCTTAACTTGAAACTCAATTCTGATACCATAAAGAGAAAAAAATTTGTTTTTTCTTTTTAAATGTTTTTATAGCAATGTCATTTAAGTGAAAAGGTTATTTTAAAGCGAGGCACTTAACAAAATTATTGTAATAGATTTCGTTTAATTTACAGAGCATATCTAAACAAGCCATCTTTATTGTCCCTTATTTACTGCGGACATTGAGGTATTACCGACGCGACGTTTTCCTTTTCAAATGAAAAATACAATAAAAACTTAAGTTACTACGGGACTCTTATAAGAATAACAAGGGAATGGATGAAGACAATTAATATTTTTAAGGAAAAATACTTGAAGAAACGAATGGGAATACCATTATAAGCTTAATGGCTTTTTCCACTTAGAAGCTAGCCGTGCGACTCCGCACGCGTGCGTACCTTCTGTTGTCATCCCTTTTTCTCTGTGCTATTACATGAATGTTTTAATTACTTACAATATTTTAAACTAATGAAATGTTTTTAATTCATTTCGTAATAGCCATATGTGTGTTTATACACGTACTCACTGATGGTACTGGAGTCTACGTAAAGATAGGAGAGAATATACCTTTAATCGATATTTTTATCCAATTTTTCATATACATTTCAGAACCATGTAGTTTCACAGTGGTAGTACCCGCTTTAACATCTTAGCACTGCAGGGCCGGCTCTCAAGGTGTAATAGCACGACCACACAGAAGACAGGCGTGAAATGGAAGCAATTCCGTGTTTCGTCTGATGAGTGTGGTGCCGGAGGCCTTATTTAAGTCCCTTTCTCTTTACCACCCTTTTCTTATAAGGAGAGGATGGGAAGGGGAAGTGGATTTGACGGTGGTGAGGAGATGCATAGGAAGGGGAAATATCCTCTTTATATGCGTCTCCTCCTCCGTTGGATAAGGGTAGGCAATGTATCTGCAATTGCGGATGTCTATGGGCAGCGGTCGCTTCGTCATTTTGGCGGATACGAGGTGGCCGCTTGCTCGTTTGCCACCTTATGATATAAAAAAAAAACATAGTTATGTTTGAGGCAATAAGTCCGGGTGATTTTGGTTGGGTCGATCAGAGTTCCGAGTAATCCGTTGGGTCCAACTGTTACTTTTTCGTTTGCTTCTTATTTCAGAGCAAAACATCTTAAACGTTTAGGTAATTGAATTTATCCTTGTTATAATTGTAAAACCCGCCCTCACCTGTTCTTGTCGACAAACAAAAACAAAGTGCGGTCGAGGCGTGAGATTAATGAACGTATGTGTCACACGTGTTTTTTGTGCTCATAAATTTGTCATAGTGTGACAGATTTACGTTTTCGTATTTTCCCTGGATATTGTAAGTCAAATGAGTGCTAAATAATTGATATAGTTATTAAATTTTAAGCGAATAATAAGAAATATAAAAACTACCTTCTCTTATAAAGTTAATTATTTTTCAACACTTATTCTTTTAGAATATAACCTTATTAACAGTAACTTTTTAGTTTATCTGAAATAAACAAAAAAAAATACTTCGTTTTTCTTTGAAATAACAAAGTTTTTTAAATCAAACATATACTACGCTGTCGAAACCATTTAAATATCTTCTTGAAATAAATTACACGTAATTTTACGATATGCCAAATTAATATTTATAAATTTATTATACCCCAGCCTCGGGTTATTAACAAAGGGTCAATTAATTAAAATTTACGAGTCAAGATTGTTATGAATAAGGGAAATTTGCTCATTTCTGCTTTGTCGATTATTTCTTTGTATAACAAAATTTTATGTAAGTAATTATAAAATTATCTTGTAAAAAAAAGGTTTACTAAAATTATTTACAGTGTTTTGTTACAATTCCATTTTTAACTTAATATATACTATCACTACGAAAACGTTTCGATTTATTTGATTGATTGGAGGTCGCGACCACAATCCATGTGTAACGTCCATCAATTGTTCAAAATCAAAGTATATCTCACTTTCAGCCGCGAAAAGCTATGAGCGATTGTGCGATTGTCGATTGTTTCGCTGCCAATTCAATTGTTTAGTTGCACAACTAAAAATCGAGTAGTTTGCGCACCTCCATATAATAATAGGAATCAAAACGAGACTAAACAGTTGTCCGATAGTTTAGTAAAAGGTGTTAGATTTTTAACTATTTTTTATGTATTCTGTATTCTTAAAAGTTATTTGTTAATCTGTGCTATTTTTCAATACATTTATCTTTATTTAAAACAACAATATTGTTAGGAAAATATTAGGAAACGGAAGGAATAGTGGGGGGTAGTTTTATAAAATATATGGCAAGGCGTGGGTCGGGCTCAGTTGCAGCTCGGCGCTCAGTCGCCAACAAGCTCAGTGTTTTACTAGACGTCACAACGGAACGTTCGATATATTTGCGTTGTCGCATTGGAGTTCAGTTTGTGTGTTTTAATGTAATTTACAAGTATTGTTAATATGGCCGTCCGTCTATATTTTAAAGGAAGTCATTTGTGGAAATATATAACAAAGGTGTGTGCGCTTTTTGTCACGAAAAGTTAAACTTAGTAGGACTTAGATGAAGAAATACCAATTACAAAAACCAAAAAATTTGTTTTTCAATATTTGCGAAGGCCGCAAAATACGAGTACGTAAAGCTTTAAAATATTTTTCCTATGGAGTTTAAAGGAGTTTAGTTTTACAATAAACATTTTGGCTCAACTTCAATAACGTTTTGAGGTTAAATAAATAATGCAACAGACGCATTATACTCTTAAATACATAAATGCATCATTGGTATATGTACCTCATGTACTAATCGAAGATAAACGCCGAATGATATGGAAATTGTATACTGCACGTCAAAAGACATTAGTATTACTTTTAAAATTTCAATTTCTCTTAACTAAACCTTTCTAACTACTTAACGAATCTTAAAAAGTTTTGTTTCTTAGGAATAAAACAGTAATATAATGGTTTAACTGGAATACATAAATTCGAAATGCAATAATTTTTAGCAAATTAATTAGGGGATAACTGAAATGGCTTATATAATTACTTCACTATACTAATATAAAGATGAAAGATTTGTATTTTTGTATTGATATAACTCAATAACTACGAGGCCGATTGTAAAATTCTTAAAGCTTCGTTGTCAGAGAGTAACATAGGCTATATTTTATTAATTTCACGCGGGCGTAGACACCAACAACAGCAGTTTAACAAAGGGAAATACTTCGCAATCAATTTTAATTCAATTCTAAAATGTGTAGAACACAAACAATGTAGCAAATGGTGTAAATAATTCAAGTTGCAATCAAGAAACCAGACGTGCCCCGAATATGTGCGCCAGATTATTGACAAGGAAATTGCCGAGTGTATTCCGTGAAATACAGTAGTTATGAATTTATTATGTCAATACCTCATTAATTATGTTACGCATATTAAATACGAATAACGTACAAGTCTGAAAACACGGTAAGTATACTCGTGGTTTATTAACAGATTTACAGCTTTATTTATATTGCTTTTCACATATAAAAGTGTATTTTGGATGTTAAAGTAAATTTAGCAGTCCTTTTTCTATCTTTATTGGGACTTGTCGAATGTGCAAATTAAAGGTAGTTTGAAAATTAAGAAGCAAAAGTTTAGCGTGGTAGGGACATGTTATCTAATGAGGCGATGGGGACATAAACCAAAGAGTGTTAAGAATAAATGTGGATGGCTGCAAAGGAAGAAGACCGAAGAAAGTATGGATGGATTGTGTGAAAGAGGATATGCTTAAGAAAGGAGTGGATTCAGATATGACGGCTGATAGAGATGTATGGAAGAGCAGCACAAACTAGGCCGACCCTCCGTAAGGGATAAGGGCAAGTTGATGATGATTGGGACTTGTCGAATCGTAACTATATTTTTGTAGGACGACTATGGACTTAAAACACTCGAACTCCCTTTTATTCTATGTTTATAGTTGAGAAGTTACTTCAACTAGATACCTTCATTCACTTACTTCCTAATATTGCGGTCTTTTAGAAATAAAGCAAATAAAACGTCTCCTAGTATTTTGTTACAAAAAATCAATCTTATCATTGAGAAAACATTTCCATTTTTCTCTACGTATTTCTCCCC